CTTGATGGTGTTTGTCCCAGGTTATAAAGCCAGAAGCCGCATCCCGATCACCTGCTCTGCACTGAAGGAATTCTCTGGGTTAATTAATTGTGAACAACGTTAATCATGTTCATTAACAGTTCTAATGTCATTAATTAATAGCACAAACATTTCAATGGCATGACTGGCTTTCCTGTAACACGAAGTTGCTGTTCAGAAAATGGAGTTTTCCTTTGGGCTGGGTGATAGATAGTCCTTTCTCCTGACTCTGGGAAGGTGAGAAAGCAAATACATCTAGGTAAGCCTGACTTGTTGGACCTTAATAACTAACCAAATGTGATGGCATAGCAACATTTCTTCTGGAGATGGTCCTAAAAGCAGCCAGCGTGACAGGTTTGCAAAGGCATGCAAGCCCAGTATGATTTGTGTGCTAAGGTTTTTATTAATTCATTTATTTGGTCTATGCAGTAGGATAGAAACTAAATCACATGCTAATACAGGTAATTTATAAGCATATTATACAGTGCTTTACAGATTCAGATCCACTGAGAATGATAAAATAGATGACCACCTCTAATCCCAGGGTCTCTCAAAAGGTATCACTGGAGTCTTTGGTTGCCTGGCCAGATTTCATGTTCAATTGCATGTTTATAAATACATCTCACATACAACATGGTCATTTTAAGAGGGTCCAAAATTGCTCTGCCCTCTCTAGACAAAGCCAAGTACATCTCATCAAAATTATCGGGGAAAAAATAGTTGTGATAGGTATATCCCTCTGATCATGAATGGTTTTGATTTTCTTGACTGAGTTACAACCTCACCTAAGAGCATAATCACCTAGAGAATCTATTGAAAGGAATGCCAGTATTACATTGACTTCCATGGTGCAATACTGGGACACAAGGTAATGAACAGATTTGACCAATGCACCACAGTGCATAAACACAGCTGTAGGACTTGGGGAATTGGGTGGAGGCTGAAGTTTTCACCCCATTAAATCAGTCCTGACTCAAACCATTGCTGGAGAAACAGGATGAATTTAGGGCTGCATTACCCATGCTTTGGTTCACAAATAAAGGTCTCTTTACTCAGGAGCATTTACTTACAGGCAAGAATCCATGCTTGAGGCTTTCTTTGAAAGTCATCCTCCCATTGCTTCAAACAAGGCTGCATTGTGTTCCATTGTCTCCCAAGTGAGAGTAAGTCACAGGATTAAGAAAACATTGCTTTGTCCCCTAAGCAGAATCTAAGCAATAGAGTTGGTTGCTCCATATTCTGTTTTAGCAAGGCAAGATATCTGTGAATAAATGTAACAATGATTAAAGGTGGCAAAAATGTATTAGAAAGTGTATTTTCTTCAGATTTAAGGGAAAAGATCTAATTAATGATACTAAGCACTTTTTAAAGTGTGAAATCTGTTTCTGTATGTAGTGTAGCATGAGCAAAGGCAGGCAGGCAACCAACATTTACTATGTAAATTATCGCCACGCAGTGCTGAATCAATGAGTTTTCCTCCATAGATGCTCATTCTGGGTTGCTCCCTATAATGACCTCAATTATACATGTCTTCATTGTGAAATTATGATTGCCTTTGGTGGGCTGCAACTGACAGCAGAGAAAAAGATTCCCAAGATAAAACAGCACAACGAGTGATACCTGCTCGCATTAGTATGCACAGCTTGCAAAGGTGCAAAGCAACTCCAGCTTAGCACCCTAGGAAATCAAATTGGGGCAGAGGAAGGGCCGAGGGAGATGTTTGACAATACCGTGGCATTTTTAACAAGAAAAGGAATTGGTAAGGCTTCATGTTCTCATCTGGTACGGCAAGAAATCCAGCGTGAGAATATCAGAGTGGCTACTCCTGGGTTGCCAAAGGTGCGCAGTGCTTCACGGTTTATCTCAGGCTGAATGTAAGAGCAGAGGGGAAAGGGGTGAGAGACAGGACAGAGAGATGCTTCCACTGACCACTGGCAGATGGGGAGTGATCCCTCACCTCCTGAATGGGAGAGCTGGGTTTGAGGATGGTGTCGTGCAGTTCCTGAAGCCACAGAGTTTTCAGGCACTGAGGTGCACATGCTTGGCCACCTCTTACTGACCTTCATTTAGTGCAGTGCTTGGTGAAAGATAACTCCTGGACCTCTGATAGACAGAGATGTGGTTATACCCACTCCTTCTTAAAAGTGATTATTACTAAGGTTTTACTACTGTCTTGAACTATTAAAAGCTGAGTCAAAATGACAGCATCCCATTATGTGATGATAGCATCTCTCCCTGAAGGAAGAGTAATTGGCAGGAACCTTTCTTTATTTCCAGCTGGAATAAACTGAGGAGCTGCTTGAAGTGAAATCCCAGAGAAGAGTCCCAGGTTTGATATGACTTCATAAATATGATCAGCTGCAACTCTGGGACTGATGCTGGTTGAATCTACTGAATATGGAAGCTGCTGTGCATGCACCATCCTGCAGAATTTCCAAATGAACATAAAATTGCTTGATTTTTAGGACCAGATTCCATTCCAGCCTGTGTTCTGCAAGCGGGCACACTCTGAATAATACCCATTTATTCTGAACAGGGTTATATGCATGGTAAAAATCCTTTTATCTCATAAAGGTTTTTTTAAAACTAAGAGCAGTGTTCAATACTCAATCTTGAGGCTCTACACAAAATCATTATGGTGACTTGACTAATTTGTAGACATAATCCAACTAGCATGAGTGTGTCTATGCTCTATAACTTAACTACAAGATTCTGAGTTTTTAAAAGCCCTCTCATCCTCTTAGGGAATCTCTGCTTCCTCCACAGTGCACCTGGTTGTATAAGGAAATCTTTTCTATTGGTAACAATAAAGCAATGACTAAAGCCACACAATATAATCTTGTGTTAGTAGAAAGGCTTTTAGATGTTAATAAAATGCCCTCAAATGCCCTCCATAGAAATACTCAAGAAAAGGAGTGTGTTTGTATTGTTGAAGTGGTCTGTGCTAATTACATGCTTTAACAGAAAAAGTCATCTCCTGGCCTCATACAGTTCCATCCAAGAATGGCAGCAATGCAAGGCGTCTTCTTAATTGGGAGTTAATGTATTTTTCATTACTGTGTTTCTAAAACGTAAAACCAAAGCCTCTTTAGCTTGTCATTTGGAAGATGGGCAGGGAGCCTTCAATTCTGCTGCAACAAAACACTCCACAAATGATGCTGAAGAGGGAGCCCAGCGTGAGCCAGGGAACTCAAGGCACTGTGAGAATCAGCAGAGGGAATTAAGGAAAACAGCAGTAAGATGAAAAAACAATTCTCTTGGAAATAAATGACCCTCTATTTCATTTCTCCTCGCGAAAAGATGTCCTCATTAGTCCTACTCCATACTACAAATTATCGTAATTATCAGTTCTTTGTCCTGTCAAGTGCACTCCAAATATTTTATTCATAGAAAGGAGCCCTCTTTTATGCTGAAAATAACGACGTTATTGGCTCCTACGTGCTGTTCATGTGCTTCAGGCAGCTGGATGAGGGCGATGGGATAGGACATCTCTGCTCCTTTGGGCCATCAGGCTGAGTTGCCACATGTGGGATCTCCTCCAGTAGGTACCTGAGGGTGATGTGATTTAATGGTGTATTATCTATTCCTGGGTTTGCCTCTAGTCTGCTCAGTGACCTTGAGTGGGTGAGGGTCTCCTTCCCATCCCAATCTTTCTCTATATCCCCATTTGGATGTTAAGGTTTTTCGTGCAGGAACTGCTTAATGGTCTGACTGTGTCTGGCCCTCTTCTCATGGATGGGAGCCACTGCCACCCAAATCATAGCAGCAAGCTGGTCAGACATTCCTCTTTTTCATCAACCATAGATCAAAACTGAAGCTACCATCTCTTCAAAGCAGTTTGTACTCTTTCTGAAACAGCACTGGGAATATTAAGTTGGAGAATGGCTCTGCTGGCAGATGTGACATGCAATATTGTATTGATCTTAGCAGCCTTCAGTCAGCCTTGGATCTACAGTGGTGAATACAATTTGTGGCACATTCTATTAATGTCTTGCTTAGGTGGAAGAAGCAGGAAGAGGCAGGATGCCGAGCTGATCGGGTACTGTTGCACAAGCAAGTTTTGCACGGTGTGTTCACACTCAGTGGCTAGACCAGAGCAGAACCCTTCCAAGGCTTCCCAAGGCTACCAACACAGGCAATATTTTAGTGCCCAGATTTAATGGATTTGCTACTCTAGAGATGTTAAAGCAATTTTTCAGTTAGTTCTGGTATCTAATGCCTTCCCTATCTGCGTGGCCAGACGTGGCAAAATGTGCAAACACATCCTGTGAGCATTGGCCAGAAGGAAATGATGCAACGTGGTGTGGTTTGAGAGATGTGAGTGTGGTTTTTAGTGAAGCCTGCGTGTCTCAGGTGTTGTTTCTGTGTGTTACGAGTCAGTCAAAATAACATGGGGTTTTATTATTTAACTAAAATACAAGAAAGCTTCTCACTCCTTGTTAAACAACATCTGTATCTCAGATGCCACATGTGGCTGCATTTGGTAAAGGAGTTTTCATGCTTGGTGACTTCAAATATTTGGGCAATTTAAAACTGGGTTTGTTTGCCTTTCGGTAACAGCAGTATTACCTTAAAGCTACACGGACAGAACCTGACTCATTCTTGTCCCTTTCAAAGGACGTTGGCAGGAGTTGTCTGGGGAAACACAGGGGGTCTCAAGCAGGAGAGCATTTGCTTGTCCTGTTGCTGACTGCTTTGCAAATGTAACTTGTAGGGGAGGACCTTAGTGCCCTGATGCCACAGCTACCACTAGGTGACTCAGGAAGATGATGCAGCAGGTCTGATTGTTGCAGATTCAATTTCTGTGTCTCTTGCTTTGCTTTATTGTTTAGGGAGATTTCGTAGCATAGATAATGCATGCCTTTGCCAAAGTCCTTCGAAGTTATTCCTGGAATGAGTGAGATGGAATGCAGAGGGGGGAAGAAGGGGAGCAGCTTCCCTTTCTAGTGTTTGGTATTACTCTGCTTTGCTGTCTTTTGCAGAGGTGGTCCAGCTGAGCCTGCCAGAGGACCAGAAGGTCAGCGTTACCACCATCACTGTTGGGCTGAGCACCGTTCTGACGTGCAGCATCCGTGGGGCGCTGCGGCCTCCCATCATCTGGAAGCGCAACGGCGTCATCCTCAACTTCCTCAACTTGGAGGACATCAATGTAAGTCCTGGATTGCTCTTGTCATTTTCTTTTTAGGGCATTGACTACAACCTCGTTTAACAGATGATAGTTTTAAGGGCACAAGTTTTATCTTGTTATTATTATGGTAAACTGGAAGCTGGTATGATATTTTGTTTTTACATGAAGATGTCTGAGGAATAAAACCAAAACAACACATATGCAGCTTGAGAGCAGGGGTACTTGGAATATGTTATTATGAAATTAAAACTTAGTACCGCAATAACCCAGCACTTAAATAGCATCTTGTTGCTTATTCAGTTTGGTGCAACCTGTGGTCCACAGGCAGCAGCCTTGGAAAGCCAGGGGAAAGCAGCTCCACAGACCATTAACTCCTGAGAGATCTCTTTCCTAGTGCAAAGAAACAGGTTCACCACGAGCATGAACAACAATACATTTATCATTGGCAGTGAAAACTCTCCCCTGCCTAAATCAATTGATGTTTTTATCTCTGTTCCTCCTGTTTCATTTGCCTTTCAGCCAATTCTCATCTCTTAACCCTTGGTTACTGTTTCTGATGAGCAGTTTACAATATGGGTTACTCAGCAGGGTCTGGCATTGCCCTCACAGGAAGGAAGACGAATCTGGTTTAATTCACACTGCTGGTCTGATGTGCGAGTCATAGTTGGTAGTAAAGACAGGACCTGACTAATGGTATAAACTTGCTCGTTTATTTAATAACGTTTAATTATGGAGAGAGTGGGAAGTAGTGTACAAATATAGGGTCTGTATTTCATTTCTGTTTGCATTACAGGACACAGTAAATCAGGTTTTATTTTAATTGCAATACAGCAAGAGTTGATTTATATTTTTGTTCAGCTCGTGTTAATTTGATAACTACTCAGTTCAGAGTTGTTACGGTCAATACTGTAGCTCCCTAAATTGTTGTGTATCCAGGATTGCTGAAATGTGAAAAACCTTTGGTTTATTCTTCTGCATTAAGTTGGGGCTGTTCAGCCTGGAGAAGAGAAGGCTGCATGGAGACCTCATAGCAGCCTTCCAGTATCTGAAGGGGGCCTATAGGGATGCTGGGGAGGGACTCCTCATTAGGGACTGTAGTGACAGGACAAGGGGTAACGGGTTCAAACTGAAACAGGGGAAGTTTAGATTGGATCTAAGGAGGAAATTCTTTCCTGTGAGGGTGGTGAGGCACTGGAATGGGTTGCCCAGGGAGGTTGTGAATGCTCCATCCCTGGCAGTGTTCAAGGCCAGGTTGGACGAGGCCTTGGGTGCCATGGTTTAGTGTGAGGTGTCCCTGCCCATGGCAGGGGGGGTTGGAACTTGATGATCTTAAGGTCCTTTCCAGCCCGAACTATTCTATGATTCTGTTAATACAGGAAAATTACAGCGCACAGGACAGAAATATACACTGCAGCTTGGTGCTTTATTTGTTGACTCTAACACAAGAATGATGTACGCTATGTGTAGGTGATTATTGTGTCCCCAAACTCAGTAATTAGAACCATCTAAACACTCTTTTCTTCTCATCAAAGCAAGTATTACCCTTTCATAATGCATTTCTTGTCTCCGTTTGAAGCATGACATTGAAATGCAAGATGGAACCAGTGCAGGATTGGCACAGAATTACACAGGAGCCTCATGAGAATGTGCAGGATTGTACAGCCAGCCCAAAGCCGGTGTCCCTGACCACATTTCTTACAGATATCAGTCAATGCCAGGGTTAGAAAATGACCTTTGGGTAACTGGCACTAAAAATACATAGCAAACTGTCAAGTTGCCATGCACCAAGTCAGGCGCTCCCCGCTGTAGTCAGAGCGTGGCCCAGGGAGCCGTGCACGCATTGACCTGCCCATAAAACTGTTTGAATATTCCTCGGAACAGATCTATTCCTTGAGACAGATTTAGTTTAGTAATGATTACACATCCTGCCAATGTGCTTACTGTAATCTGCAGCGAGCAAATTCAGCAGCTTTGCGAGATCAGAGTCCAAAAAATGCCTTTTCTTTTGGCAGTGATATTCACTAGATAGAGCTGAGACATTGTGGCTTCAGGGTCAGTTTGTTGGGCTCATGATTGAGCTGGGGTTAGAAGGGAGGACTGTTGTTCTTATTTCCACACGCTCTGGAGGCTCAAGAGTGGTCTCAGAATTCTTTGGCCAAGAATAATGAAAACTCTCTGATTTATCTTACCTTCATGAAATTTTGGTTATGATCACATTAATCTGACAAGATTTAAGTTCGTGTGTGAACTGAACACAAAAGGACAGTCCAGGAATTGAAGTAAAAACACATCTTTGATAGGTAGGTAGGTAGATAGATAGATAGCAAGCACATGGCTCTGAAGCTTAATTTGCAACTCCTACTATCTGAAATAGAATTCTGAGTACGTTTTCATGCTGAAATGCCAATTCCTCCCTAACTTAGGGCTGGCCCAAGTGGATTTCTGGATTACTTGCAAGTAGTTCTCTTTCTCGTTGGTTCTTAAATGTTAAGAGGAAGGGTTATGTCTTTGCACATAAACTGACTGGTTCCTGAATGATTCAACACCCCCTAGGACAGTGCCAGGCAAAAGAGCAGGGGGGAAAAAACACTTTTTGATCTGTTTGATCTAGTGTATCACTGGGAAACTATATCAAAGGAGACCTGAGATTCTTACAAGGAGGAAAAACAGGATTTATGCCTCAGTTTTAATGTTTCACATGACAAGGTGATAGAGGTCATAAACTGACACGTAACACCTCTACAAGCAAGCATCACGTCTTTTTAATCTAATAAACACCTCCACGTTTTTTTCAGCTTTAATGAAACTATAAGGGGTTTTGTATTCTGTATATGTAACTGCTGTCTGTGTTCTGGCCTGGCTACTTGAGGTGACACAATTTGGGGATTAGCATCTTTTGTTTTCCCTCTTCCACTGTGGGCAAGCTGTAGGACTCTTGAGCTCAGGTCTGTCCCATCTTTGGCTATTGAGGGTGGGCACCTGCATACCTGAAGCACTTCATAGCAGGGATGAAGAGATGCTCCTTCAACTGGTAAATCCCGTCTTTATAATCACAAGTTCTATGTCCTGTGCTCATGGAATATAGAATCATAGAATGGTTAGTGTTGGAAAGGAGCTATGTTCACCTGCAGCATGAACACACTTGTATTTGGGGGTTGATACTTGGTGTAGCCTGGAAGTGGCATCAATGTTCACTTTGAGGTTTGTAATGTGAAAACACATGCACCCGTGGATGCTCGACAGCTTGGGCCAAGGTAGGTGGCAGCAGACAGTTCAAAGCTTCAGCCTTCCATGGGTACACAAACTCACATGAAACAATAATCTATTTAAAGGCACTGACAGCAGGAAAGTGAAGGCACTGTGCTTCTTAATATACTTGAAGTCAGTTAATTAAATTACTTCAGTTTTCTTTTAGTCAAGCAGAAACTCAATTGCATTCCTGCTTTTCACAATCAGGTAAGCAATTTGGCTAATTGAAAGTGCAACAGGAGATTAATTGTACCTTTTTAACTTCAAGAAAGTCCCCCCTGCTCCTGGCGCAATGGTAATCATGAACAAACCCACAGGATATGCAACGCTTGGAGAAATCCCGGTATTATATTTCAATTAAACTCTTTCTCTTCTAAATGCTAATTCAAGAAATGCAGTAAAAACAAAAGCTGGAAAAAAAAACAGAATTCTTCCAGCAGCGCAGGAGAGGCACCACTGACAAACCCTTTGTGGCTATGTTTTCCCCGGATTCATGACCGGTGTGACAGGAGAAGGTTGGTGTCTGTGTTCCACATTAACACTGGAAGTGACAGTCAACAAAAACCTAGATACAGGACAAGGGGTTCAAACTTAAACAGGGGAAGTTTAGATTGGATATAAGTTCTTTACTGTGAGAGTGCTGAGTCACTGGAATGGGTTGCCCAGGGAGGTTGTGAATTCTCCATCCCTGGCGGTGTTCAAGACCAGGTTGGACCCAGGTTGGGTGTCATGGTTTAGTGTGAGGTGTCCCTGCCCACGGCAGGGGGGTTGGAACTGGATGATCTTCAGGTCCTTTCCAACCCTAACTATTCTATGATTCTATGATCTTAGTTTTGGGCAGACCTGCAGGGTTGAAGACGATGATAAAGCCTGGTTGTTTAAGTGTGTTCCTTAAATCACTTTTATGTGGTGTCTTGATTGGCAACAAAATATTAATACTTTTTTATTGCTTTCTTAATCAGAGGCTTTCACAAGCAACACAGTCATAATTTGTCCTGTCCTGTCTCTGAAGAGCTCCGTTAATGAGTTGTCACATAGCTATCGCAGAGGAACCATCTTAATGGTACATGTAATTAAATAGTTTTTCTTGCAAATATTTAAGATTGCTTTTAGCATCAAAATATTATTTAGCCATAAATTATCCATGCGTATTATTTATCCATTAGAAGTCCCTTTGCAGCTGTAGCTGAAAAAAAATCACATCAACTTTTCTCATGCAGAAAATAACTGTAATGTATCTGGAACCGGTAAGATTGTGCTAGCTACAAATTAATTTCTGACTCCAAATGGTGAAGTGGTTAAAATGTGTCATCTTTCCCAATAACACACATTCCACGTTTGCCCCCTAGGAATGAGAAACATGTTTTCCCAAATACATAGTTATGAAAGCATTCCTCAACTTGAGAATGTAGTAAAGCCCTTGTGGAGTTAAAGGTATTTATATGGTATTTGTAGGAGATTTTTTACATGATTTGATATTATCTCCAGAGAAATAAATGTAAATTTATTAAAAGCATAAACAAAAGTTACTCCTTCGGTAGCATGGTAAAAGCATTCACAAACCACAGAGGGAATACTGCTATAAGAAAACGAATCGCCTGGTCCTAAGTAGATGGTGGAGTAGAAAGCTTCTCCTTCCTCAAAAGCTCATATTTGTGGAGGAAGATGTTGCTCTGGGGTGGTTTTGTTTCCCTTGTGTTTTTGAGAGGTACACAGGGCTCATGCCTCGGGAATGCCTTGAGAAACCTGGGATGTCAGCTGCAACTCTCCCA